GAAATAGCCCGGCTCTTCATCGCCACCATCGTTCGACCGCACAGGAAACCCGCGGCGATCATCAGCAACCGCAACACGAAATTCACTAGCAACTTCAGGCGGAACCTGTTGCAGCAGTTCGGTACACAACTACAGTTCAGTTCATCATACCACTTTGAAACCGACGGTCAAACGGAGCGGACCAATCAAACCATGGAGCAGTTAATCCGAGCCACGTGCGACAACCCGGCAACTTGAGAGTAGTAGTTGCCAGTCATCGAATTCGCGTACAACAACTCCACGTCAGCAACCACGCAACAGTCGCTGTTCTACCTCAACTACGGACAGAACCCAACAGTGCACATGACGCCGAATTCCAACCACCCAGTTCCACGTGCACAGCAATTCGCCGAAATTTTACAAGCAGTTCGGATCTGAGCAGCAGACGCCATAAAAAAAAAAAAACGAACATCATCGCTAAGCGGAACGCCGATCATCACCGACGCCCCGTCACTTACCAGCCCGACGACCTCGTACTACTCGACACTCAGAACCTCCGCCTGCCCATCACCCCAAAATTACGCCCCCAATATTGCGAGCCATTTCGCATCAGCCACATGATCACCCCCGTCACCGCCCACCTCCTCCTGCCACTGACTGGTACGTCAGCCCATCATTCCACGTCAGCCTCCTCCGTCCCTACGTCCCATCCACAAGTCAACTGCCACGCAACCGCCCGTCCAGCATGACACGCCCGCCAACCGAGCCAATCATCACCCCCGAAAAAATATTGAGCTACCAAGTGCGCGACTCACATGGAGCACAACGGATAGAGTTCCTGATTCGCTCGAAGGACCGCATGCCCACGGAAGATAATTGGGTCCCCCTGGATAAAATTGAGAACCACCCCGTCCTCACTGAGTACCTGCGCAGTCGAAATTCCCGCGATGTACACGCATTTTCGAAAGGGGCCTCCCTTGGGGAGGGGGGTAGTGTAAGGAAAAAAACTATTTTTCCTTGCATCGCATCCCTGCTTACCGCATACACGACAGTTCCCGCCACAGTACCCCAACAGTAAAACCCTTACCACCCCGCGACACTCGCCTCGACCACTGTTCCCGCCACTGCAGGGATAACTTTAGTAAAATGCCTTGTCTGACGTTAAGACTGGTTCTTGGCCCCTTGTCTGATCGTCAGATGAAACCTGAAGCGTTGTCTAGCATTTCAGACAAAACATAGGCATCGGTCTAAGATTTCAGACGAAGTCAAATCGTGTTGAACGATATAGTGTATAGTTTCACAGTGGCAGAATCGTGTAGAACGATATCGCGTCGCGTGGCGAGATTCGTCGGGAATGGTGGGCAACGGGCCACGTGGGCAACTGGCCAGGTGGGAATAGCTGTCGGTTTCATACGCGAAAAAACGCACTGTCTGCAGTTTCGGACGAACTGTATAAGGTTGTCTGAAAATTCAGATGAGTAAAAAAACATTGTCTTACTTTCAGATAAAATTGAACAACATGTCTACGCCTTCAGATCAACCATAAAAAATGCGTATGAAATCCAGACAATCAGACAAAAAATGTCGGATAACGTAGACCCTGCACCACTGTTCCCATTGCACCCCAACCTCACGGCTCGGCTGGTAACCTGCGTTCCGGCCCTCCGCCTCGACGAATCCCAACCTCGGTGCCAGGCCCGTAGCGCACCCCACGTTCACTCGTTACCTTAACCACGCTAATTCGCTCATGCCTTCGCTCATTGTACTGTTTGCTTAGATTGTGCAATCCTAGCTCGCTCGCTCATTCAATTGCAGTCATAACACTTAGTAAAGTTATTTAGAGAGTATCCTATCCCACCGTGCACTGTTTCAATCTGCTCGAGGGTGCTTCAATCTCGAACTTGAATTCCATCTGGTGCCGCCGCATCCTAGTTCACTCTCCGTCCGCCCGGCACCCATCCCAAAAAAGTTTGGGCCAACCCCCCCCACCCCCCAAGGTTACCCACAGCTTACCCCGTGGCGGGTGACCCCGGGGTCCTTGTCTAGGTGACCTGCGGGTAACCTCGGCAACAACCACTTCGCGTGGTGACCCCGAGGTCACCCACAGGTGGTGACCCACAGGATACCACGAGGAAACCCCTCCCAGGCAATTGGAACGAATCACACACGAGCCGCTCTCGCGCTATGCAAAACCTCGCCAAAAATACAAAATTTAGCCTACAGTACACTAAACGACACTACAGTAGTTCGGCCATACGAAATGGAAAATGCACAAGCAATATTATAAATGATTACAGACTAATTGTTCAGGATTTAACATCACATTCCGATAAAGCCTTACCTATAAATTATATGAAGCAAATTCGATGTGTGTTTCATATTTCCAGTTGTGATTCACATAAACCACAATAATTAACAGATAGCCAGTTTAGTGAATTACATTGAGCAGACTGCTACTGATAACATTTCAGTCATTCCATTATGTAGACACTTTGAAGTACCGCAACTAAACAATTTCAGTCATTGCACACTTCCTAACGTGCAGATAACGTCTTCATTGTGGAGAGCCTTGCCCATAGCTGAATATCCTGCGTGTTCTGCTGTGCTCCTCAACACATCACACGACGCACGGAAACGGGAACAAACGAAGCAGCAGCAACCCAGGGCAACGCAGCAACTCAGCGACATGGCACCAACCAGGATTCTTACCTCACGAATAAGGCAGCCTCCACGGGCATGCAGAGAGAGTGCAGTTCCGGTCTTCGAAATAAAAAAACTCGAAATTGCTCGCCAGTGCATGACTTGATCGCCAGCGTAGTCTGCAAACAATGGCGACATTCCGACAAAGCCACGGAACAAGTGCGGCGATGAGAGTGCGGAATACGATTAAGCGCCAAAAGCAAGGTTAGAAATAAGCGCACGACTAAGTACCTCGCCCCCAGTCTTGGCGCACGACATGGGGGATTGATGGACTCCCGTGCGCTGTAGCTCACGTGATTGATCACCTCGCCACACTGCAGATTCTGCGTCTAAATGATAATCATTATGGATGAAACAAACACATTAAGCGCTGTAAAAACGTAATCCAAGGGTATGTGTGCTAGAACTGGGAAGAACCTGAAAAATAACAACAAATAACATGTACGATAGTGGTCGTCTTCGTTCAACGCGAAACATCACCACCATAAGACTCTCACCAGAACTAATCACGACAAGCTGCTTCTTGATCAAGTGGGCTGCGTGGACCTCTCGTAGTAGCTGCTTTACGTGTGTATCAGGAGCTAAAAACGACCTTAGGAATGACGAGTGAGTAAGAGGAGGATGGATAAGAATAAGGGAAAATATGCGAATGGTAACATACATGGGGCTCTATAACACGTACGGTAACCATAACAATGAATTTTCACGCGTTTGGTAACTCGATTCACGCATTTGGTATCTATACACTGGCAAGCCATCACGCGAATGGTAACTAGAAGAAACCCTCGTCAAACTTGACCCTGATTCTGGTTTTTCCCGCTCGCGCCAGACTGAATTGACGAGTCCTGAAGCACGAAATTCTGACACACTTTCCGAAATTCTGACACACATTCCGAAATTCTGACACACTTTCCGAAATTCGGACTATTTCGTAAAAAGTTGCTGTTTTAAAAACCGTTTATAATATAATGCGGATATTCTGGCGCTCGCGGAATTTTGATTTCACTTAATTCTATCGTACAACCGGGGCAAAAGATATATACCCCTTTCGGATGGCAAATGATTTTGAGAGCATCAACCCTAAACTCCTTGCGACAAGGCGTTCAATGTTATTTCTACAATAAAGGCATGCCATTCGGAAGGGTATTATTTTTCCACCTCCAAAATTATCCCACGTTGCATGAATTACACAATTTTAAATAAAATTATTGTCGCTTTTCCGGGAAACTTTCACCATTTTGCAATTATGCAATCATGCTTGCAAAAATATAATTGTACTTGTTAGTACTATATTTCCGAGCTTAAAATAGATATGAAACTACTCTGAAACTATTTGGTCCGTGGTAATTGAACAAACGCAATCCTTCAAAGTCGCGGCGGGAATCGTTCAATATCGGTAAAATGGTCCGTGAAATCTTTCAATTTAACAAATTCTTCTTAGTCAGGATCATTTCGGTGGGAGTTTCATCTAGTTACCATTCGCGTGATCATTCGCCTGTGCTAAGTTACCAATTGCGTGAAACGAGTTACCAAACGCGTGAAAATGTACTGTAATAGTTACTGTACGCGTTAAAGAGCCCCACGTATGTTACCATTGGCATACTTTCCCTAAGAATAAGTACTCATAAGGTGCTGGGGCAGGAGAGGCAGTAGAAGGTGGTGTCGAAGAGCTCCGATTGGTTCGTGAACTGGATAGTGCCGCGTAGCCCAACCCATCACTGTTTTGAACATAGTGAGCGATGCGATATAAATCTGGAATCAGTTAGAAAACAACCGTAATTTATCAATTCAACATGTTGAGAGACGAAATGTACAGCGTAGGCTTACCGAACCATTCCCGTACGTGGCTGCCTCGGCAGAAGCAGAGTAGCGACAAACTAGGCAGGGCCATCGACTTTCCGGCCTAAGTTGGGGTAACCTCGGGGTACCCTCCCGAACTGTAAATCTTTCCGATTGGTCGAAAATTCTGTTACCACGTTTGGACGCTTAGTTGGCGGTCGTCGCTGACGTCGCCAGTGTTTTGGGGTAAGCTGCAGGTAGCACAGAGGGAACTTGTGGGTCACCACGTGAGGGTGACCCCAGGGTGTGCCTCATTCCGAAAGTGATTTCGGCGAGGTGAATTTTGGGATGCCGTCGCGCGTCAATCATGGCGGCTGCCACGCCTCCCACGCACTCACGTCCACTTCCCGTACCTGTCCGACGCCAACGCACGTTTTCTCCGCACGATTCGTAAAACTGCCTTGATGGGCGGTTCTCGGCGATTGCCGAGATCCCACGTCCCAACGTGCTTGTAACGGAGCGCTCTGTAGTGGAATTCAGCCATGGCGTCGTCGTTCATATCGCAGGTGCGCTTCCCCCTCTCAACGCGTCACACCGCTCGCCCGTTGTTCTCCCGCCATCGCCCACCAGCCATCCAAGCCGGATCGGCTACTGTCGACCCCTTTTCCGCGTCCTCCGACCTTCCGTGGCCCCTCTGCCTTGCTGCGCTCTCTCTTCCGTCCGCCTCCCATCCGCGCACCACCACTCTCTGGACCAGAACTCCCTCCCCTCTGCCTCTCTCCCCGCTTCCCCCTCCCTCTGTCTGCCGCCCCTGTGCCGCCCGCCGTGCGCGCAGGTGCTGCTGCGCGTGCTGCGCGCGTACATCCGCGACGCCGACGGCGCGGCGGCGTCCGACCTGAGCGTGTCGCTGTCGGGCGGCTCCCTCACGCTCCGCAACTTCGAGCTCAACCTGCCAGGTGCGCCGCTCATGCAGCACATGAGAAGAATCCAGTCCGTGACGAGATGGGCGGTGGCGAGTTACTCAGGAGGCTTGTGGCAAGTGACGCCTTGCCATTGCCGTGCTTCAAGCTCTCACCTCGGCCCCCTCTGCAGGCACGGCCAGCGTTCCGCACCGCAGTCACTCCTCTCATCTTGACATGGAGCATATCCAACCCTTGTCGCATCTTGCTCCTCCTCACTCCCTGCTACGCACATCCCTGTGTGCGGCGAGTGGGGGTGCATGATCTGCACTTGACATTCCCACCACACCGCCCCTCCCCTCCTCACTTCAGGCCCACAAAACCTTCCCTTCCGCCCCCTGCCCCCCCTCCTCCGCGCTTGCACCCACCACCAGTCCCCCCGCACGTGCGCGTGGCGGTGCGGCGCGCGTGGGTGAGCGAGCTGCGAGTCACCATCCCGTGGGCCGCGTTGGGCTCTCAGCCCGTGGCCGTGGCGCTGCACGGCGTGCGCCTGCACGTGGAGGCAAGGGGAGAGGAGGGCGATGGAGGGCAGGGGGCGGAGTGGGAGGAGAGGGTGTGGAGTGGAGGGAGTTGCGGTGGCAAGGGGGGCGACGAGGGTGCAAGGGAAAGTGGGGGGGGCGGTGGGTGGCAACAGGGGATGGGGCGAGAAGAGGGTGAGCGGGGCGGTGGTGGGGGCGAGAGGGGGGCTGATGGAGCAGGGAAGGAGGAGGAGGGCGGTGGGGGCAGCGACACGGACTCAGAGTCGCACTCGTCGCAGGGCAGCAGCAGCAGCGAGGCGGGGCATGCGAGGGACGAGTTGGCGGAGCTGCTGGCGCTGGGGGGGCTGCGGGCGTTCCTGCAGCACACAGTGGTCAACGCGAGTGTGACTGTAACGGACGTGCACCTCCAGTACTCCACGCCCTCTGTTGTGCTGTCGCTGCGCTGCGATAAGCTCCTCCTCCACTCCACTGCACCTGACTGGACCCCTGCCTTTGTGGTGCGCGCTGCTCCCACCCTCGCCCTGCTGCGCTGCTTCCCCTATCCATTCATGCCCAACTCTCACTTGCACAGGCGTGACAGCATGGCAGCATGCGTGACATGCCACCCATAGCCCACAGCACAGCACTGCACAACACGAATTGCACAATGCATCCTCCATGCCTCCCCGCGCATCTGATGTGCTCTGCATCGTGTTGCACCCCTCCTCCTCCAACCGCCCCTCTGCCCTCGTGGCATTGCCTGCAAGGCACTCGCATTCATCTCTCCTCACATCCTTCCCAGCCACCAGAGGAAGGCGTGAGGAAGGTTCTGGAGGTTACTGGCCTGTCGGTGGATGTCGCAAGTACATCCAGCCAATCACACACCGCCACGTGTCAGGCCAGCCAAGGTCCGTGGAGCAAGGCTATGGCACATACATTGCCCTCATATAGCATGCAAGCCATTTTTCTGTCAGGCAGGCGCTAGTCCCCGTTCTGCTCCCCCCATCTGTCTCTCATCGCTCGCCTTGTATGCCACTGTACCTACGGCAAGCCCTTGAGCCATTGCATGCCTTAAGATCAATATTTCCCACCATCCACCCTCTCATCGCGATTCTCACGTCCCTCGCCCATCACCCCACTGACCCGTGCCGCTTTTCCCCAAACCCACTCCCCCTGTTATTTGGTACCCCCCCCCTCCACGCCCACAACACCCTCCCTCCACGCTTCCCGCCAGTGCCGCTCCTCTCCGCTGTGTCCCTCACTTCCCGCATCGCCGTCACCCCGCCCTGTGCGGCTCTTGCCCAGCCCCAGCGCGCCTGCCTCTCCCTGCGCCTGCTGCCCCTCGCCCTCTCCGCCTCGCCCTCCCACCTCGCTGCTCTGCTCAGCGTCGCACACTCATGCCGGCAGGCATGGGGGGAAGGCACAGGCCCACAGGAAGCAGGGGCGGAGGGAGCGGGGGAAGCGGTTGGAGGGGGCGTGGAAGAGAAGGAGAGTGGAACGGAGGAGGGAGGCGCGCATGGCGATGGCAGAGGCGGCAGCGGGGATGCGATGGGTGGGACGAGAGAAGCAGTTAAGAATCTTCTGGTATCAGTGAGCGAGGAGGGAGAAAAGGCAGCAGAGGAGATGGCGGGTGGAATGATGGATGGGCGGCAACAAGAAGGGCAGCAGAGGGGGCAGCAGCGGGGCCAGCAAGGGGGGCAGCAGAAGCGGGGGTTGTTTCACAGCATGGGGCGCGCCATGGGGTGGGTGCAGCAGCTGTTTGAGGACGAGGAGGAGGAGGAGGAGAGCAGCAGCGGCGCTGCCATGGCAGCCACGGGGCACAGTGCGCTGTCATTGAGAGCTGCTGCAGAAGCAGCAGCAGCAGCAACGGGTGGCGGCTTGGAGAGTGATGAGATCTGGGAGTGGGCCACGGGGTACGAGGCAGGTGTGCACTTTGACGTGGCAGCCACTGATTGGTCCGTGGCTGCGCTGCTAGAGGGTGCTGAGCTGTCCCTTGTGAGCAGCGCGGGCGGCAGCGGGGCTGGCAGTGGCGGTGTGTGTTCGCGCCGGGAAGGCGATGCTGCGAGGCTCAGAGCAGAGGAACGCCACGAGGCAGCTGCGCCGCCAAGCCTAAACACGGGCCTTGCCAGCCCAGCCTGCCATCCGGAGCTGGAGTGCAGGCTCGGGGCCGTGCTGGTGGAGGCGGAGGGGCGGGGCAGGGCGGTGCAGGCAGCGAGTGTGAAGGTGGGCGCCGTGGCGGTGGCTGTGGCTGTGGCAGTGCCAGGAAGCAGCTCTTCAGGTGCCTCTTCAGGTGCCAAGGTCAACGCAGGTGATTCCTCAGGTGATTCAGATCCGAGTGCAGCAGCAGAGCCGTCTCCTCTCCGTCCTTTTCTCCGCCTGCACACGCGGCAGCAGGCAGGCGAGGCAGGGGCGGCAGCAGCGGGGGGGCGAGGGGAGGGCGCAGTGGGGTCGTATGGGAGCCTGCAGGCGCCGCTGCTGCACTCCCTCGCCCCCCTGGGTGCCGTGCTGCCCGCACACCCTGTTGCAGGGGCGGAACGACGGGTGGGTGCGGGCGGGGTGGGAAGGAGAGGGGCAGCAGAAGATAGCGGGGCTAGTGGAGGAGGGAAACGAGGTGAGGAGGGAGAGGGGTTGGGGGGTTGTGAGGAGGGGTGGAGTGTGGAGGGAGTGTGGTGGCGTGGGGTGCGAGTGGCAGAGGCGTTTGAAGCCTCGCACGCTGGCGGGCCTCTGGGACTCACTGCTGACGTCAGCCTCTCCTTGCACATGGGTCTCGTGGCAGTCTCCTACTGGCCGGGCATGTGCAGCACAGTGCTGCGGTGGTGGCAGGACGTGCACACATGCGGGGCTGGTGGAGTGGGGGAAGTGGGAGGGGCTGTGAGAGGGGAGGGGCGGGTTACGCAAGACGAGCCCAATGCCCCACCCACTGCCTCCTCACCGCCGCTCGCCGCGCCTCCATGGTCCCCAGGCGGTGGTGGGTGGTGGCAGTGGGTGGCGCGGGTGAGCAGCTCCGAGGTGGCTGTGGACGGCGTGGCTGTGCGCGTGGCTGGTGGCCGTGGGGGGGCCAGCTGCAGCTGCGAGCAGACACAACTGCAGGAGCGGCAGGAGCAGTGTGCGGAGGACCTGCGTGCGGAGAGGGAAGCTGGGTGGATGGGCAAGGCGAGTGAGCGTGCGGGCGAGGGTGTGAGTGTGAGCACGGGGCGAGTGGCGGTGTGGAAGAGACCAGCGAGATGGGTGGGGGAGGATGGCAGGGCATGCGAGGGCAGCAGGGCGCGGGTGACAGTGACGCTGCACGCACACATGCACTCGCTGGACCACGCCCAGGTACCTCCCTCCTTCCCTCCCTCCCTCCTGAATCACTCCCCTCACACGTCTCCACTCCTCCACTCGATCAAGCCTGGATGTACAGCTATAGCTGCATCCTTGTCAAATCTCCACTCCCCCTTTTCTTCCCCTCATCTTGCCGTGTCTGGAAATATCCTGATTCCTGTCCTCCCCTGCACGCCCCCCCCTCCGCCCATGGCAGCTGTGCGCCGCCACGCTGCTGCACCCTGCCTCTCTCCGCATTGACTGCACATGGGCTGCTGCTGCTGCCCCCTTGCCACATCGCTCCTTACCACCAGCAGCACCGTCAGGACTGGCAGGAGTGGCAGCAGCAGCGCCCGCAACTGTAATGGGATGGCCAGCAGTGGCAGTGGCCTTGCCACACGGGCCGGCATCGGGTGGTGATGGGGCTCCACACAGTGGGGGCGGATGCTCTGTGAGCGGGGAGGGGGGCGGGCAGCATGGAGGGGGGCAGGAGTGCGAGGGTGCGGTGGAAGCCACTGTGGATGCCTTCTCTCTTCATGTCTCTCGCACCCACGCTGCTTCCTTGCTCGCCATGGCTGCTGCCGCGCTCACAGACGTGAGCTGCAGTGGGGGTGGCGCTGGTGCTGCCACGGCATCACTGGCGGAGCCACAAGGCACAGGCGCAAGAGAGCAGGCAGCCTCCCCCGCGGCAGCCGTGCCAGCCAGCACGCTGCGGGGCCTGGCTAAGCACGCACGTGTTCTGGAGGCTGCTGCTGACGTCATGTCGAGATGGAGCCACCACCACGTGCCATGCTCAACATCGTCATCATCATCATCAGCAGCAGAGCCCCCCCGCGACTCTCCCTGGTGCTGCCAGCACGTGCAGCAGCAGGTGGGGGCGTTCTGCCATGTGCGGGCGTGCGGTGTGGCGCTGGCAGTGGGGTGGCGCAGCGGCCGCTCACAGCCCGCCAGCCCCACACAGCGAGAGGCGTGGCTGCCGCATGCGGTGCTGCGAGGGCAGGCGCATGGACGGCACACGTGGCTGAAGCTGTCCGTTGAGTCTCTATCGGTGGAGGCACTGCATGCACTCAGGTGTGGGTGGAGGCACTGCATGCCGTCAGGTGTGTGTGTGTGTGTGTGTGTGTGTGTGTGTGTGTGTGTGTGTGTGTGTGTGTGTGTGTGTGTGTGTGTGTGTGTGTGTGTGTGTGTGTGTGTGTGTGCTGCCATGACATGAGATCTCAATCGCCTCCTCTGTGTCCACTGTGTGCTTGTCGCCTCACTCACATCTCACCACACCTACAATGGTACCTAGTGCTTCTCATCCTATTTGCGTCTCTCTCATCCTCCACCCATCCCTCACATCCCCACCCCCTCCTCTCTGCCGCGCTCCGCCCAGCCTCTCCCTACAGCCGTCGCCCCCCGCCTCAGCAGCCCTATCCGCGTCCTTCCACTCATCCACGGGTCCACACCCGCCCATGCGCCCTGCCACATTGCCACCAGCCACTCACGCTGCAGCGCCGCAGCATGGCCTCCCAGGCCCCAGCGCTGCTGCAAGTAGTGCTGACGTCACGCTGCACTTGGGTGACGTCATGCTGGTGGTATGGGCGGATCCTCTTGTGCATCTGTACGCGCTGCTGGCTGCTGGCAGTGCGGTGAGAGCGCAGGAGGAGGTGGAGAGCGGTGCAGGCAGGTGGGATGGAGAGGGGCGAGGAGAAGCAGGGGCGAACGGGGAGGTTGGAGCAGACAGGAGAGGTGGAGGGGGACAGGGAGGAGGAGGAAGTGAAGAGGTTGCAGGCGGGGGAGTGGCGGCAGCAGCGCAGGTCACAGCAGGCGTGGGCGTGGTGCAGGCAGCGGTGCAGCGCGGCAGTGTGAGCTTCGTGGCAGGCCCTTGCAGGGCTCAGAGGGGCCACAGCAGAGGCAGCACGCACAGTGGAGGGGGTTGCAGTGGGGGTCAAGGGGGAGGCGTTGGGGCGAGGGGGAAGGGTATGGGAGGGCATGGCGTGTGGGTGGCAGTGGGGCGGGCGGGCGTGAGAGGGGTGTCTGTGTGCGTGAATGAGGGGCGCGGTGGCAGCGCTGCAGGGGGGATGGCGGCGCGCAGGGGTGAGGAGGAGTCCCCTTTGCTGTGTGTGCAGCGGGTGTGGGTGGATCTGGGCTCGGCGTGCCTGCCCTGCTCGCCTGCCCCCACGCCCCTTGCCACGCTAGAGGAGAGCGACGGCACTGCAGGGAGCACACACACGGACACGTGGCTGCGTGCGATTGGCTCAGAGGCCCTGGCTGCACTGGTGCAGGTGGAGGGAGTGACGGTGGGGGGTTTGGGGAAGGCAGGGCCGTGCGAGCAGGTGGTGCAGGAAGAAGGAAGGCAGCAGCGATGCCAGCATGAGCAGGGGCAGCAGTGTGAGTGCAGTGAGCACACTGGAGGGCCATGCGATGAGAGTCGGCCTCTTGACCTGCTGGTGGGTGCTCCCCGCCTCCCTTTCCCGCAATTCCTCCCCTCACATCTCCCCAAGCCCCTCGTTTCCTCCTCTCACATCTCCCCAAGCCCCTCGTTTCCTCCCCTCACATCTCCCCAAGCCCCTCGTTTCCTCCCCTCACATCTCCCCAAGCCCCTCGTTTCCTCCCCTCACATCTCCCCAAGCCCCTCGTTTCCTCCCCTCACATCTCCCCAAGCCCCTCGTTTCCTCCCCTCACATCTCCCCAAGCCCCTCGTTTCCTCCCCTCACATCTCCCCAAGCCCCTCGTTTCCTCCCTGCTTCTGCTTTTCTCATTCTCCTCCTCGCCCCCCACCTCTGCGTCCACAACCCCCCCTGTGTGCAGGTGGAGCGGGTGGGCGTCACTGTCTCACGCCACCAGGTCGACACCCTCCTGCTGCTGCACCGCCACCTCACTGCCTCCCTGCTGCGTCCACCTGCCACCACTGCTGCTTCCACCCAGCAAGGCAGCCAGGGCAGGCAGGGCAGCACAGAGAAGGGCAACAGAAGCAGCAGCAGCAGCCGCAGCAGCAAGTACGGCAGTGGTGCCAGGGGTGCAGTGACACGTGTCAGCATGCGAGTGGTGGAGTGCACTGCATCTGTGCCACTGTGGGCGGAAGCCAGCCCCCCGGCAGTCAGCAGCGCCTTTCACGGCGCCCACTCGGCCCAGAGTGCCGCCTCACACGTCCATGCCACCATCTCCCACTGCTGCCTGTCTGCCTCCTGTCACCCCCCTCCTGTCGCCCTCAGCCCTGGTTGTTCCTCTGGTGCAGCAGCACCACCGCCGGTGGTGCATGGCAGCGTGGGGCGAGTGGCAGTGGAGGCGGTGAGGGAGGGCAGGCGCCATGCAGGAGCACCCGGAACGACAGGGCTTGCCCCCGCAGGGTCGGCGGAGCGGCGCTTCACTCTGCTCGCCCTGCCGCATGCTTCCCTCTCACCGTCTTCCTCCCCCGCCCCTCACCACCCCTCCTACACTCCTCCTCGTGGCTACTCCCCTGCAGCAGCACACCCGCCTAGTGTGCCCCCCAGGCAGCCCTCAGAGCCCCGCTGCCCTGGTCACCCTGCCAGCCCTCCTGCTGCTGCGGCAGGCGCCGCTGCAGGCATGACGTGGAGAGTGGTGGAGGAGGAGAGGCCGTGTGGTGGGGGCACAGGGGGAACGGGACGCAGGGCGCAGGGCGAGGTGGGGGAGGGCAGGGGGGAGCAGTGGGGGCGGTGGTGGGTGGAGGTGGAGGCGCAGCCCATGGTGGTGGCGGCTGACGCCCACCTCGTGCAGGAGGTGAGTGGGCCGCCTGCTCCTTCACGCTGCTCTCTCTGCCTCTTCTCTCTCTTTCCACTCGCTGCTGCCTTTGTCGCATGTGTCTTCAGCACTTCCTCTTTTGCGTCTGAAATGCATGACTCACCTCTCCTCTCTGCCGCATTCTTGCTTCTCATTCTCATCTGCTGCTTTCTGCCACACCTTTGCCTTCCACCTCACCCCACGCCTCCGATCCGATCGCAACCCCTGCATGCCGCACTCCCTCTGCACCACTCACCGTTGTTCGCCCTTCATTCTGCTCCCTGATCTGACCTCCACCTCAACCACACCTCCCACCGCCCGCAGGTCATCGCCACGCTGTACGACGTCCTCCCGCGCCTGCGCGCTCCCCCGCCACCACCACAGCAATCGTCTGCGCGGCACACAGGGAGAGGCGCTGCTGCCTGCTCCTCCGCCACCCACCATCCGGCAGGCATGCCCCCCAAACACGCAGCCCCTGGGGGGGAAAAGGGCAGTGCCGCACCGCCCGGAGGGCCTCTGCCAGTGGCCCGGCTGTGGGGCGTGAAGGTGGCGAGTGGAGGCGCGCTCATCTCGCTGCTCTCATCCTTCGAAGCGTTTCAAGCAACGCAAGGGTGTGAAGGGTCACCCACCCCTGACAGTGACACTCCCCACGCCCACAAGCCGTGCCCATCCTCCCCTCCGCCCGCCTCTGTGTCGTCCCCCTCAGCGCTGTCCCGCCTGCCCCGCCTCTCCATCTCCTCCCACTTCGTCGCTCACGATGGTGACCCCCAACCCCACCCACCGTGGCAGGGGGACGCGCAGCAGCAGGGCGAGCAGCAGCAGAGAGAGCAGCCAGGGGAGCAGAAGGAGAGGGAGGGTGTGGCGGGGGGGGCAGGCGTGTCAGTGGAGTTGGAGAGCTGCACGCTCACTCTCTCCCTCTCGCCCTCACTGCATGACATCCGCCGATTCGCAGGCACCCACGACGCCTCCTGCCCGGGCCGCATCATCCTCCCGCACACACCACCCACCACGCACTCCTCCTCACACCCCCCTTCGCACCGCCCCCCGCCGCCCTTCCTCATCCCCACGGTCAACCTGCAGTGGGCCCACACGGGCGTGCGTGTGCTCAGCACGGACCTCCTCTCCAGCCCCACGCTGCTCTCACACGCCCACTCCACCGCACTGCACCTCACAGCGCTCGGCACCCCCTTCCCCCTGCGCCTCACCATACACACTGACTTCGCCTCGCCCATCCTCTGCCCCAAGGTGCTGCTGCCGCTGATCCGCCTTGCCAGGTCACTGCGGGATGCGTGGGCGGCAGCGAGGGCCGTGCGCCTGGCGCATGAGGTGCAGGCGGGCTGTGCGGTGCAGGGTGCGCCCAGTGACGACCTGCGCAGCGGGGCGTTTCAGTGCAGCACGGCGGGGGGGATGCTGCAGGGGGGAGTGGCGGGGTGGGAGGAGATGGGGGCGGGGCAGGTGGCGTGGGGCGAGGGCGTGGCCAGCAGAGACAGGCCGCTCAGCAACAGCTGCTTCGGAGGAGGCTGGGTCGCATGGCGGTACGTTCATGGCGTGGAATGGTGGCAGGCATGAGGTAGAAAAACTGGGACCCGGTTTGGCCTGTCACAAACTGGCTCGTCACGGCTTGCATGTTATTTTTATTCTTTATTTCCTCTCTTCGCGCACTGAGCCTGTGATGAATGAGGTCGAACCCGGCCATGTGATGAATGAGGTCGAACCCGGCCATGTGATGAATGAGGTCGAACCCGGCCATGTGGGTCGGGCCGCCCCTCCTCACATCACGTGGCCGTACCTTTTGACGAATCTGCTCTTGAAATATACGCCCGCCTTTGCCCTCCTCACTTGCTTTCCTTGCCCAACAATGTATGAACTTATAGTCTCATTTCCCCCCCCCCCTTCCGTTCGCCATCCTCCCCTCCAGCTACCCCTACCCGCGTGCAGTGCACCAGCTGCTCATCACGGCACCTCTCCTCGCCGGTCCCCTGGCCTGGCGGCTGCCCCCCGTGGCGCTGCGCCTCGCCCGCTTCCACCCCGCCCACCTTGCCTTCCACGACGCCCTCCCCATCGTGCTCTGCCCGCCCTCCCCCTCGCCCTGCGCCCTGCACGCCGCTCACGCCACCTACCCTGCGTGCCCCGCATGCCGCCCCATAGTGCTGGAGCCGGAGGGGGCGGAGGGGGAGGGCGAGGCGGAGCTGTGGCTTCTCTCGTGGTTCGTGCCGCTCAACCCCGCTGACGTCATGCACCCCTCCGCACCCGCAGGTCACCACCGCCCTCACTCTGCCATGCACACACCCACCCGACCCGCAGATGATGCCACCTCCTCTGTGCCTCCGTGTGCCCCCTCTGCCTCGCTGGCCGGCGCGCTCTCTCTACTCTCCACGGTGTACGGCTCGCCCGCTGCAGCCACCATCACTGCCGCCGCCACTGCTGCTGCCGCCTCCGCCCACGCCCCTACCACCCAGGGCATGCCGCGCGCCTTCCCTGCCCAGCCCGCGGGCCCCATGCTGTCCGCCCCCCTGGACACGCACGTGCTGCCCGCCTCGCTGCTGCTCGCCCGCCTGCTCATCAACCCCACCAGCGCCGGCCCCCACACGCGCCCACGCCTGCCCTCGCCGCCCCTCGTGCCGTTCCTGCGCATCGGGTTGGGCGGGCGGCTGGTGGTGGTGCGTGTGGTGGAGGATATGGATGCGGACGAGGGGCGGACGAGGGAGGCGGTGGTGGTGGGCGGGGAGGGCGTGCGCGTGTGCGTGCACCTGTGGAGCACGCGCATGTGGGCGCTGCACGCTGCTGCCACCGTGTGCGCCGATGCCGTCGATGCCAGCGACCTCTCTCAGGTTGGTGGGGAGGGGTGCACGAGGGGCATACAGCCAGGTTCGCACATGCATGGGTGCAATTGAAATTAATTCTCAAAACACATCAGTTTCTCACACGCCGTTTTTACCCCCTTCCCTCTTGTCGTACTCGCTGCTCGTTTCTTCACCCGTGCCCCTCCCATCGCCCTCCCCCCAGCTGCCACTGCTGGAGCCCCTCCCCCTGCGCGCCTCACTGGACGTGCTGTGGAAGCCCTTCTGGTCGCCCGCTCTGCTCTCCCGCCACCAACGCCACCCCCCCCGCTCCTCCCTCTTCTCCCCTCCCCACCCCGCCTCACCCCTTCGCCAGCCCTCCTCTCCCACTCACGCCCACTCCTCCCACTCTTCCCACTCGTCCCCCTCCGCGCCCTCCTCGCGCCGTGCCCCGTGGGTGCCGCGCGACCCCTTGGACCTGCACACGCCACCGTCCTCGCTGGGCATGGCGGTGGCCGTGCAGGCAGGGGGGCATGCGTGGGACAGCTCAAGGGGGGGTGGGCGAGGCAAGGCTGGAGGCGGTGGCAGGGGCTGTGTCGCAGGCGGCAGTGGCAGCAAGGGGGGCAGCAGTGGGGGTGGGGGCGAGGGGGGCGAGGAGCATGGGGCGACGGTGCATGTGAGGGTGGCGTCCCTGAGAGCGCTGCAGCGCCTGCTGCTCGCATGGACGGGACAGGGGGGACAGGCAGGCACCGGGCAGGGCGAGATGGGCGGATGTGAGGGGGGGTTGGGGGAAGCAGGGAAGAGGAGAGAGGAAAGGGGTGAGGTTCAGCAGGAGGAGATGAAGGGAAATGGGAGAGTGCAAGAGAGTGAGGAGAAGGGGTTGGCTTCGGGGACGAGTGAGGCGGATGAGGGTGGTGCAGCAGAGGCGGGCGAAGGGGCGGTGAAGGAAAGCCCAAGAGGACTGCCATCACAGGCGTCATTCTCTCCCCCTCTCCTCGCATCCCCATCCCCCCCTCTGTTCGGGTACATGTTGGAGAACAGATGCCCCGTGTTGCTCCAGCTGGGCCAGCACGGCACACAAGAGGCCATCTCCCTGCCGCCCGCCTGCTCACTAGGCTACAGCTGGTGCCGCCCACCCTCGCTTGTGCCAGGGGCCATGTGCCAGCTGCGTGCGCGCGTCGGCCAATGGGAGGGAAAGGGGCGGGGAGATGGAATAGAGGGGCGAGGAGATGGGGCACAAGGGGCAGAGAGGAGTGATGAAAAGTGTGTGAGGGGAGGGAAAGAAGGAACGGGGTGGGAGGGGGTGAGCGTAGGAGGCGATAGATGGAGTGAGCAGCACGCACGTGGAGCAGCTGAAAAGGATGACATGGCACATGGTGATTGGTCTGCGCCATTTGAGGTGGGCACAGGGGGGCGACACTCGTTCCTACTCGCTGCTCCTGTGCTCCAAGACCGCCACCTCACTGCCTCCGTTTTAATCACCATCACTCCCAAACGTGGCTGCTTGGCACACGTGCTCTTCACACCGAATGTGCTTATATCGAATCAGACGGGCCAGGGATTGGCAGTGGAGATGCAGGGCGTTGTGCTGCCAGTGGGGGGCAGCAGCAGAGGGGAGGGCGAAGCATGCAGATTGCAGGTAGAGGGGCGTAGGAAGGGTGGCAGGGGGCATGTGAGCCATGTGATGGTGGCAGGGAGGAGGGGCGGTGGCAAGGAGGGCATGGGAGGGGATGTACTGGTGAATGGGGGCAAGGAGTCAGAGGGCGTGGAGGTGCGGGGAGCGAAGGAGGGGGCCATGGAGGCAGCAGAGGAGAGAGACGAGTCGTTGCCTCAGAGGGGCACGGGCGCTGGCAGGGCAGGCAGGGCAGCTGTGGTGGTGCGCGTGTGGCTGGCACGGGAGGCGCGCTGGTCCGCCCCCCTTGCTGTTGGCCCCCACTGCCTTGGCCTGCCCTCTGGGAGCCACACAGAGATGGGGCTGGGGGGAACGGCGGGCGGGAGAGGAGGGAGAGAGGTGGCGTGGGGAAAGGCGGCAGTGGAGAGTGGACGACCAGCAACAGCAGTGGACGGCAGTGATGGCAGTGATGGCCGCCTGCTCACATTCCTGCTCACTGCTGATGCCTGTGTTCCTGTCTCAGGGCCGCCCTTCCCGCCGCCGCCACACGGGCGAGAGAGCGTGTGGGTGCGCCTCATACTGCCCTCCTCCATCCTCCCCCTCCCAGCCCCCCCTTCCTCCTCCTCACTCCCCACCGTGCCTGCCAGCAGCACCCCTGACCCCCTGTGCCGCTGGCAGGGTCCCCTGTGTGTGCAGCTCTGGCCTGCCGCCCTCCTCTGCAACGCCCTGCCGCTGCCCCTCCGCGCGCGCATTCTGCCACTTCAGGGCGCGCCCACCACGAGATGTAACGAGGGCGGGCACGAGAGGTTGAAGGAAGGGAATTGTCAAGAGCAGCAGCAGCAGGAGCGGGACAGAGGGGCGGCGGAGGAGGTGGCAGTGGGGACAGCAGAGGAGGTGGCTCTGGGCGGCGGCATGTGGGGAGAGTGTGCTTTGGAGCTCGCACTGCCGCGCACTCCCCCCACCACTGCTGCAGCACACACGCCAACCAGCCATGGCGCCACTGGCACCTGGAGTGCTGCTGCCTCGCTCCACCCACACGCACATCCCTCTGCTCAAGCCGCCCTGTGGACCGCACCCCTTGCGCTCTCCCTTGCCGCCCCGGACCAGCAAGCAGCCACTGTCTCTGCCAGCTGGGGTGACATCACTGATTGGTCTGCAGGCAATGCTGATGTGGCGCGTTGGGATTCGCCGATTCCAGCTGTAGGGCAGCGGCGTGCCATGTGGCTTCCACAGGCGGATAGCGAGGTGAGCATCCACCAGTTGCTGCTTCTCACCGCACTGCACCGCATTGCACTGCACTGTACAGCATCCTTGGCACCATCACACACGCGTGTTCCACTGGGATCAGTAATTTGTTTTGTGTTTCTCTCAATCTGTCTCCCCTCTCTTTCCCGTGCGTGGTCCCCTGCCCGTCTGTGAAAGCAGAGTCTCCTCTGTGTGCTTGCAGCATCACACTATCGCCCCTCTCACCACCCATGTGCTCACGCTGCCGCTGCCGCCACTGCTCTGCCCGCTGATGCACCCCTGCCACCGCCCGTGCCCACGCTGCTGCTCTCAGTGCACCCGGTGGCAGTGCTGCACAACCACCTGCCCTTCCCCCTCGCCCTCGCCCTGCACCACGCCCCCTGCCCTGACCTCATCATCCCCCCCTCCCACTCCCGCCCCTTCGCCTGGCCCTCTCTCTCCCACGCCCTCCTCTCCCCCTCCCTCTCCTCTACGCCATCCGCATTCTCCCCTGGTTCCTCTGCTGCCGCCTCCTCTCTTTCCACACCCACTACTGCATCTGGCCCGGGTGCCAAGCCTAGGAGGCAGGCTCGGGGGTGGTCGGTGCGGCTTGGGGTGCCTGGAGGGTTGGAGGCATCCATGGGTAGCAGCGGTGGGGGGATGGGGAGCGGAGGTGGGGGGGAGGGGGAGCCAAGGGGATGGGCGTGGTCGTCTACAGTGCTGGTGCGGGGTGAGGAGGAGGCGGAGGGAGAGAGGTCAGGGGGCGGGGGCAGCAGTGAGCGGGTGTCCATCGTGACGCTCAGCTCTCACGGCCCCTCACACCTGCACTGCCTGCTCTCCGTCTCCCACGTCCCCCTCCCATCATCCCATCCGCCTTCGGCTCCCACCCCCACGTCTCCCTCTCAGCTTGTCTGCCCTCTCCCCGTGCACACCACGCACCTCTCCGTGCTGCCCGCCGCCCTGCTCTCCAACCTCACACCCTTCCCCCTCCACTTCCTACTTGATGATCCGCCCCCTGCCCCTCTCCCTGCCCTGCACCCATCCTCGCTGCACCACGCCCCTCCCAGCCTGCCTGCCTCGGCTGGCCTGTGCCTCCCTGGTGCCACCTGCCTGCCCCTCACGCTCTTCCCCTGGCGGCCGCTCCTCGCCTCCTCGCCCTCTCTGCCTGACTCCTCTTCCAGCAGCAGCAGCAGCGGCAGCAGTGAGAGTGACAGTGAGAGGGACAGCGTTGAGAGTGATGGTGACATGGGTGGTGGTGGGAGTGGTGCCGCATTGAAGCCGCGACCGAAGCAGAAGGTGAGGCGGAGGAAGGGGAAGGCAAGAGGCGAAGGAGTGAGAGGCGCGGAGGACGGGTGGGATAGGGGGCTGGCGGCGCTGGGAGGAGTGCGCCTGGGCATGGCGGCACGTGCAAGGCAGCAGGGGGCAGCAGCAGCAGCAGCAGCAGCAACTGCAGCAGCGTGTGCCAATGAGCAGCACTACCAGCACGACCAGCGCGACCAGCACGACCAGCACGACCAGCACCCACATGACGAATCTTCTCTGCCTGTTCGCCCCTCCCCCTCATGCCCACTCGTCTGGTCGCCCCCCGTGCCTCTCTCCCGCTTCGCTGTCTCACAGCGGCTTCTCCTCCCCGACCCGTCTGGCACCTGCCACGCCGCCCTCCTCACCGCCTCGCTCCTTCCCTCCGCCCGCCAATCAGAGGGTGCCACATGGCAGCCGCACCTAGTGGTGCACGTGGATGCACAGCCGCCGTGGCGCATTGAGAACGGGACGGGCATGTGTGTGGACGTGAGGGGGGCGGCTGATGAGGCGGAGGCCTTCGTAGCGCGAGTGGGGGCGGGGCGGTCCCTTGCCTTCCATGCTGCCGCCCTTCCTCTCCACACCCCCTCGTCCTCTGCTGCCTCTGCTGCTGGTGGTGCTACTGGCAATGACGGTACAGCTGATGCAAGTCGTGGTGATGGGAGTGGCAATGAGGCCAGCGAGGGATGGCGTGAGGGGTATGAGTGGATGCAGGCAGGGGTGGTGGGGGGGATGGCCATCAAGAAGCGCAAGTGGCAGCGCCGCTCTCAGCACCACCACAAGCACACACATGCACATACGCGTCCACTGATACCCGGTGCATTGAACCTGGACGAGGAGACGGACGATGCCCTCATGGCCCACATTCAGCGCATCTCAGCCGATGGGCCCATGGCGCAGGGGAGTACAGGCGGGCGAGCAGCAGCAGGGGGCATCTGTGTGCGGGCAGAGGGGGCGGGGGAGTGGAGCGAGCCCATCACAGTGGGGCGAGGGCGGGGGGAAAGGGAGGGCGAGGGGGAGCTGCTGCTGCACGTGCCGTGTGGGGGCAGCAGCGGGGCGGTGGAGGGCGGGGGGCACTCGCTGCTGCTGCACGTGTGTGTGTGGAGGGAGGGCGCCACCACTGTGTGCCGCATCGCCCATGCCGCCTCTCGCCCTTCCAGCCCCCTCGCTCTGTGCTTGCCTGGCCGCCACTTACCCCCTGCCATGGCGCCTCTGCCCCCTGCTGCTCTGCACATGGGTCTGCAGCGAGAACTCAGATACTCCAAGGACATACGGCGTGACTTACCGCAGCAGCAGCAGCAGCAGCAGCAGGGTGCGTTTGCTCCCAGCCAGGCGCAACTTGCAAACCTGACCGCACGAACATATTCCCCGTCACGCCCATTTCACTCGCCCTCCTCCCCACCTTCCCTTGCATCCCCCAACTCCCCCGCCTCCCCGTCCACCCCTCTCACTCCCCCCACGCCTCACCCCACCGCCTACCTCCTCCTGCGCTCGCACACGCTCTCCCTCGCCCTTCCTTCACTCCACCTCGTCCTCTGGGACGACCTGCGCCGCCCTCCCTCCGAGCCACACCTGCTCGGGAACAAGACAAACGATGCTAGTCGGAGAGACAATAATGAGAGCGACAGTAATGGGAGTGATAGTCTGTTCTGTGACGCATCAGCCATCTGCCTAGTGTCCCTCTCCTCCCTGCACGCCTCGCTCTCCCTGCTCCCGCCTCGCTCCCTTTCCCTGCTCGGTATTCGGGCTCACAGCGGAGCAGCCAGTCACAGCATGCCACGTGGCATGCACACACATCCCTTACCACCAGCGCCAGCAGCGGTGGGCATGGTGTACGTGGTGCAGTGCGGTGTGGGGTCGGTGCAGGTGCACAACCTGTTGCCTGGCGCGCTCCTCCCTCTCCTCCTCAACATCGGCTCTTCCTCTCCCACCCACACGCCTGGCTCAGCTGCTGGTGGGAAGGTTGAGGCGGGAGGTAGAGGAGACAAGGAAACAGGAAGGGTTAGACAAGTGGAAGGCGAAGGAGAGGAGCACAAGGCAGCAGCAGGGCATGGGAAGGAGAGGGGGGAGGAAGGGCAGCCAGCAGTGCAGGTGGAGATCGTGTTGTCGCAGCACCCCTCGCAGCACCTGACTGGGGGATGGAGGACGGGAGATGTGAGCGGGGAGGGCAACCAGGGAGTGGAGCGGGTGAGCTATGTGACGGGTGTGGAGGCGGTGCATGTGAGCGTGGCGCACGTGGAGGCATGCGCTGATGACTGCCTGCTCTCCGCCCTCACGCACTACACACCCATCGCCGTCGCCTTCATGCAGAGCAGCAGCCAATCAGATGGTGCCACGTGGCAGACGCACATGCAAGGAACAGACAGTGAAAGCCGATCAGGTGTGCAAGCCAGCACACCAGGCTCCCCAGCCACGCACTCCATCCTGCCCTCCTCGCTGCCCTCATCAGATGCGGCCCTCATCCACCTCTTCACCCTGCACCACCTGCTCTCCACCCCTCCCCCCCGCCTCCCAGACATCGGCCTCGCCACCACTCCCTCGCTCTACCTCGGCCGCTGCCGCATCTCCCCCCTCACTCTCTCCCTCACTCTCCGCATCTCCTCTCCCCTCCCTCTCGACACCACCGCCACACCGCTCACGCTCGCGCCGCTCCATCTTCCGTCTCTCCTCTGCCCGCGTGCGGCCCTGATGCGCGCGGTGCTAGCGCACTACATAACGGAGGGGCTGCTGTGTGTGCCGCGGGTCATCGCCTCACACCACCTGCTGCTCAACCCACTCGGGCTGCTCCACAGCGTGCGCGCCGCGTGCCGCGACCTGCTGCTGCTGCCCGTGCAGGGCTCGCTGCACGCGGGGCCGCACGGGCTGCTGGTGGGCGTGGGGCGCGGCGGGCTGGCAGCGTGGCGCCACGTGTCGCAGTGGACCGTGGCGTCGCTCTCTGGCTTCTCCTCCAGCGTTGGGAGGCTTGTAAGGCGCGCGTACCTTGGAGGAGGAGGGGGGGAAAAGGGAGGGGGAAGCCAAGGCCGGGTAGGGGAGACGGGGCATAGAAGCAGCAGTGGTGGTGCACATGGGAACAGAAGAGGTGCGGCTGGTGGTAGTGGTCATCAGTGCGTGACAGATGGTGGTGCTGCTGCTGCTACGGGCAGCAGTGGCGGAGGCAGAGGCGGTGGGGGAGTGCATGGCAGCATGGGGCTGGCTGTGGGGCACCGCCGCGTGCGACTGACACTCCCACTCGCGCACAGGCCTCGCCTTCCCCACCACTACCGCCACTGCCATCGCCATTCGCAGCACGAGCATGAGCTTGAGCATGCGCATGCGCATGAGCAGCGGACAGAAAGCACTTATCAAGGCACAGGCAGGTGGGGCCACAGCGAGAGTGGTGGCGGGGAGGAGGAGAGGCGGCAGCACGGGCAGGCTGCAGCGCAGCATACGACGGGGTCCACGGGGCCTTGTTCTGTTGGCAGTGCGACAGGTACACGTGGTGCAGTGGCGGAGGGGGAAGCAGCGCCTCTTGCTGCGCAGGGCAGCGAAGACCATGGTGGCATGCCTGCCACCTGCAGTGGGGAGGCGGGCAGCATGGGGGGCAGCAGGGATGGCAGTGCTGCTGGCAGGGAGGGGCGATGCAGGGAGGGCGAGGGGCGGCAGGTGTCGCTGGTGTGGCAAGTGCAGCAGAGGGGCGTACGCTGTGCTGCCAGCCGCTTCATGCCCCCCCTGTGGCCACCGCGCCCCCAAGCCTTGTAAGTTCCCCTTCCAGCTGCCCCCAAGCATTGTGAGTTCCCCTTCCAGCTGCCCCCAAGCATTGTGAGTTCCCCTTCCAGCTGCCCCCAAGCATTGTGAGTTCCCCTTCCAGCTGCCCCCAAGCATTGTGAGTTCCCCTTCCAGCTGCCTAAACTCGTGGTGCTGCTGGAGCCATGGGGCCATGTCATGATCGTGAAACAGCTGTTTGCATGTTGTCACCATCACAGCTGTCTGCATGTTGTCACCATCACAGCTGTCTGCATGTTGTCACCATCACAGCTGTCTGCATGTTGTCACCATCACAGCTGCGCACTCGCTGCATGCTCGTGTAACCACATGGACACGTGCACTGTCCCCGACCACCCCTGGCATCTCTTATTCTGCAGCGCTGGCCAGCACTCTCACTGCCCATGTCTCATTCTGCATTCTCTGCCCGCGTTTTGTCTGCCTGTGTCTCCTCCGCCTGTGCCCCCCCCAGCTACCTCACGCACGTGGACGCCAGCACAGCAGTCATCACCACCACCACCACCCACATCCCTCCTCTGCTGCTCCGCCGCCCGTTGCTCCTCCTCACTTCCACCCACCTCCTCGCCGTTGACCAATCAGGGCTCGGCATGGCTGCATGCCTCCCGCTGTGTGGGCTGGAAGTGAGTGTGGAGCGAGGGGAGGAGGGGGGAGGGGAGGAGGGGGGAGGGGAGGAACTGGAAAGGGGAGGGGGGAAAGGAGAGGTGGAAGAGGGAGGGAGTGCAGAGGGGGCCGAGGTGGAATGGTCGCTGATGTGCTTCTGTGGCAGGGGTGGTCGGCTGTGTGGCAGTGTGAGTGAGTGGTGGCACACACTGCCACACCACCCCACCCAGGGAAAGCCCACTGGCGCTCTGGATGGTGGCAGCGGTGAGAGGCGAGGGCGTGACAAGGGTAGTAGCACGGCACAGGGTGTGGTAGGTGGGAGAGGCGGAGGCGGGGAGGCAGACGCTGTGAGAACAGCGGAGGTGCAAGGGGGAGCGGAGGTGCAAGGGGGAGCGGAGCACGCAGACTCGATGATAGGCGTGCAGGTGTACTGCCAGGTGGGAGAAGCAGCGCACATCCAGCTCGTGCCTCTGCTGCTCACACAGGTGGCTCGCTCTGCTCCCCCTTGATTGTTCGCTCAGCTACACTGTGTTGCACACTTGGGTGCTTACCGTAAGCGCCCGTATAATGGAACCTCCCAGCAATTTTGTCCCACAGTTCTACTGGTGAGTGAGCTTGAGAGTTCGCTTAAGTATTATTTCGTTTAGCATTGTACCGTATCCCCAGATCTATTACTCAATTACACATACAGCAGATGCAGCCTCAAGCAAGCAACGCTATTGTTAGGCGTAAGGCGGCAGAGATGCATGCAGCCTCAACGTACTACTCTAACAAATACTATACTATTCTAACGACAACTTCATCCCACGCTTAGCACAGTCCTTGCCAACAGTGCTAAAGAACGAATAAGGGTTCTTAATTGTAACAGACTTTTTCGCCTTGCGCGTGGGCTCATCTTAAGAACGGCCTTGGTATTGCAGGTGTTCATTGAATTCAAGTCTGTAGGGAAGGCAAGGCTGTGCTTGCGGCCCGGGGCAAAGAGGCCACTCAATAAGCCGCTGCTGCCCCACTGAAAGACTGCAGACGAGAAAGGGAGGAACCACACATGCGGAAGAGGGGCTCAAGCTGCAGGGGGGTGACACCGCTCTAGTGCACGCAACCAAGCAGCAGCCTATGGTATGAAACGACAATGGTAATAGAGAAGCAAGCAAGGGGATAGTCAAACAGTGACAAACGGTGGCAAGAGGTAACCTGTGATAGCTGGCACTACTAGCGGGAGAGATAGGAAGCCAGATGTTGCTTGAAGCAGTGGTTGCACTGCTTGAAGCAGTGGTTGCACTTCTTGAATCAGTGGTTGCACTGATTGAATCAGTGGTTGCACTGCTTGAAGCAGTGGTTGCACTGCTTGAATCAGTGGTTGCACTGCTTGAATCAGTGGTTGCACTGCTTGAATCAGTGGTTGCACTGCTTGAAGCAGTGGTTGCATTGCTTGAATCAGTGGTTGCAACATCAGAAAAATGTGGGGAAAATTTCCGGCAGTTTTTGGAAAATTCTGCAGGAGTGACTAGGTGAAAACTGCGGTTTCCCATGTGCCCTGTAAATGGAGTGGCGTATTGGCCGAATTTCCCCTTTTCCGAGCACTGCTTGAACCATAGTTTACGACCGCTTTTTTTGCTACAGTGTCGTCAACTAATCGGCCATGATTTGCCGCACACCGCCAAAGTAGCCAGTTTGCGGTAGTCACAGTTTCTGAGTGCTTGGAGTTCCAAGCATCCAACATTTGCCCAACTTCCTCCCGAGACTGTCGTGTGTGGCAGTTTACGGCGAGATTGCGAGGAATCAGAGAGTGGCCCACAAAATTTCGCGTATGAGCCTGGTTACCGTTACTGTTACGATCTCGTCCAACATCGTAACTGGTTACTTTGTTACTGCATTGTTAACATATGCACACCTGCCATTTGCGATTGCGGGTAGTATATAAATTCTAAATTCAATTTGATTTGTCATTTCATTTTCAGATGCTGAAACATTCCGTAAATCGGTATTAATTACACAGCACATTCTGAATTCATACTGTTATTGACATTACAGCAACAAATAATTGACAAATATATTCTGACCGCTTTTTACAAATACATATCAACGAAATCTTGGTACAAAAACATACAAGTTCCTGAAATAACATACAACCCGAGAAGACTGGAATACGCTGGAATGCTGAAGTGGAACTACTTGGCTGCAAAAGGAAAACTTCCAAGAGTACAATGTGAAGACATTGGCATTTCCCATCATCGATACAATGCCAGAAACACAATTTTACCTGCATGTCAAAAGGCATAACGTTAGTTTGCAGAAAAGGTATGTTGGTGAATTGGAGTGTTAGTCAATGGCGCTGTCAACTTGGGTGAATGAACGTTCGGTACGCGAATGTACCCTGCAGAGGTGATCACGTTGCAAATAGCACAAGGTTAGTGTTAGCCTTGAATGGAGAAGCACGCCAGATACATTACCAGGTGTATTGACGAAAGCACACCCTTCCATTCGCGACTTGCAAGCCTGTAATACGATGACGAGGAGATTAAAAGAAAAAGGGCTTAACAAAATCTAAAGCAACATGGAAACGTCCACAGTGCAGGTAGTAAAAAACTTGGTAAGAAATTGACGGTTAGATGGTGGGCTACATGGCGGAAATCCGGTTACGAGGAAACTACCACACATAAGCAAGGAATAGTTGGTGACGAATTACTGAGGAACGAAGGTATAATAATGCAAAAGGGAACAACGGTGTTGTACAATCGAACAACAAAAAACGCAGTAGAACAAAACAGATCAAAAGAACGCTCGAGGACAAGTTACCTGACGGTTAGGCAGTCGAAGGCATCTGCTGAAACTGACGCGAAAGAAGGCAGTCGAAGGCATCTGCTGAAACTGACGCATCTGCTGAAACTGACGCGGTTAGACTGAAGTTACTCTGGCACGAGAGAAGTGCACTGGCGTGAAAGTAATGCTCACACAGGACTACGAGGGAAACAACTGCCTTCCTCATTTTACATGCGCTCTATGGGTTCAGAGGTGGGGGCAAGCCATGGGAGGAAGGGAAGCCGAAGGTGGTGAAGTTTGAGTTGCGTGTGCTTTGCTGGCGCTGATGTGGCGATAAGGCAAAACAAGGCGCACAAAACGACTGGTTCAATTCATCTGCCAGCTCTTTTGGTATTTGTTGGCACAACGGCGGTCGATGATTGGCTCGTGTAGCTGTGTTGGGATGTCAGGTGGTGACGCCATTGGTCAAATTGAGATTCATGTATTCTCTGTTCCAACCGAAAAAATATCAAAGTTGTTTTACCCGTAATGTTAATTCTCTGTTAATTCTCCGTTACCCGTAATGTTCTTTCGGGAATTTTTCTAACATGATAGTGGACAGACCAATCTGCAACATAATTCCTCTAAAACTGGTTACTACAGCTGCCATAACTGCCCGAACTTGAAACCGAAGTGGCGAGTTGCTTGGCGCGACACGCACGAACAGAACTACAGTAACGGACTTGCCAGTTGCGCTTCGCACTGCGATGGGGCACCAGAGCAAAGTCCTGCTGCACAGCCGCTCACTTCTCCACTCCACCCTACCACCACCAATACAGTGATGAAGTGTGGAGGTGTTATAATGTTTAATAAATTCATGCTATATTCAAATTTGAAGCATTCCTTGTACAATTGTGTCAGAATGTTATTATTGTCTAGCCTGCAGTGGGGTACTTTATAGCGAGTACAACCCAATTAGAGTTTCCTATATGTATGCCAACTGCTGCTAGTGCAAACTCTCTTTCTTGTTCTAACTTTCTACTCCTTGTTTCTGACATGGTATCAGAGCAGGTCGATCCCCTTGGGTCGATCCTGTGGGTGGGCCCACCACCTAATGCTTCCGCTGCTTAACTGCTGTCGCGCGCCCCGGGCGCGCTACCCTTTCTTCATGGCGAGGCGCGCTACCCTTTTTTCGGTTTCCCTGTGTGGCGCGCGCCCGGGGGGCGCGCGGCCCTTTTTTTCTTCCTGGCGAGGCGCGCGCGCCCCCCCGTCCGTCGTCGCGCCCTCGGGGGCAACGCGCGGCCCCCGCCCGTCCGTCGTGGCGCCTTGGGGGGCAGCGCGCACTCCCCGCCCGTCCCGTCGTGGCGCCCTGGCATGGCGCGCGCGGCCCCTGCTGCTTCGCCGCGGCGCCCTGGCCAGGCGCGCGCGGCCCCTGCTGTTTCGTCGCGGCGCCCTGGCCAGGCGCGCGCGGCTCCTTCAGGACCGTCACGGCGCCCTGGCAAGGCACGCGCGGCCCCTGCTGGTCCGTTGCGGCGCCCTGGCTAGGCGCTCGCGGCCCCTTCCTGTCCCGTCCCCCCCCCCCCCCCCCCCCCCCCGTGCTGCCCATTACTCTCGTGCCGCCGTGCGTTCTGCGGTGGTGGGGGGTGTGGGGTGGCGAGCATGGGGGTGCGCGGTGTGGGTGCTCCCCTTCCCTTTTCCCCTCCTCCTTGTTCGTCTCCCACTGCTGCAGCTGCTGCTGAGGGGGGTGGAGGTGTGGGAGCCGCGGGGAGTGGAGCTAGGGGGGTGACGTGGAAGTGGAGTTAGGGGTGAAGCAGGGGGTGTGTGTCAGGGGGGTGGGACTGTTTGGGGAGGCTGAGAGGAGGCTGCCGTCTTGTCGTCCGCAGCACCTGTAGTCCGGGGCGCTGTCCTGGTAGCCCAGAGAGCCTGCTGCGCCTGTCGCCCGTGGGTCCGTTGCTCCTGCCGCTCCTCGTAGCCGCCGAGCCAGTTACTCCAGTAGTCAGGGGCGCTGTCCCGGTAGCCACTGTGCCAGCCGCTCCTGTTGCCCGTGTGTCTGCAGCTTCAGCCGTCGTCTCCCATCTTCTCTCCTCTCACAGTCCCTCCTCCTCCTCACTTGCCCGCTGTGACTACCACTAGCTTTGCTTATAATTGTGAACTACTGCTATGCTTGCTCATTGTGCTGATTACACCCCACTTTGGCTATGGGGGTGTGTCAGAATGTTATTATTGTCTAGCCTGCAGTGGGGTACTCTATAGCGAGTACAACCCAATTAGGGTTTCCTATATGTATGCCAACTGCTGCTAGTGCAAACTCTCTTTCTTGTTTTAACTTTCTACTCCTTGTTTCTAACTTCTCATGCTTAGCAACCCTATCTCAAGGGGCGTTTCGCCCAAATTGCAATGAGAGGTTTTTAGTATTTTTATGACAGAATTTAAGTGAAGTACCAGGAACTCCAAACAAATTTAAACATCATATTGCAATTTATCGCCAATGCTTTTCGTCCCACGCTTTCCCCCAACTCTTGGCTAAAAAATGTGCTGCTAAAACATGGCTAAACAAAGAACAACCAGAAGATGAAACGGTGACACGTTGCGTACCGGCCTATCATTGCACAGTTTCAGGCCATCGAACGCACAAACATGCGCCACGTGCTGCATAGTTGTGCGAACGAGGTCAAACCAGTTCCTATGGCTAGGGAATAGGATGTAGTAGGGAAGAGTGTGAAGAAATAGTGCTAAAAAAGGCATCCAAACGTTGGCGAGCTGACATGTT